TCAGGGCAGCAGTCCGGTCAGTACTCCGATCGTGGTTGGTTACGTAACCGTGTGTCTACGCTCGAAGGAATCGTTACGAAGATTAAAGAGAAGCATGACGCGGATGAGGCCAGGGAGCAGGCTACTAAGGAAGAAGAACAGAGGAAGATGAAGGAAAAAGAAGAGGAGGATCGTAGGCTACGTGAGAAGTTAGACCGAGAGGAATGGCAGTCGAAGATGCGAGAGGATTTGAACTCTCCATGGGAGATGGTATGTCAAAAGATAGACAAGAAATATAAGGAGGGCAATGAGGTGGCCAAGCTACGGGAAGAAATTGCCAAACTGGCGCAGCGTAACACTTCGGGTGAGGCATCTACTTCCGTGGTTAAGCCACCTGTTTACTTCAAGCGTGTTGAACGGTTGAAGAGAGAACAAGAGGAGTTGCGTGCGGTTGCTGATAGAAGGTTTGCTATGCTAGAAGAAAATATTTCTGGTTTGGTGAAGGAGAAAAGTGATGCTGAGGCAAGCGCAGAGCTCTGGAAGGCCGAAGCACTGCGCCCAGGGAACAAAAGAGGGAGTATCGCAGTTGAAACCCCTAGCACGGAGGCGAGAGTACGTCAGCGTGGAACACCTTGCAAGCCACCTACAGACCCTCGAGTGAACCCTTTTCTCAAAGGAATGGTGGATCGGCATAACCTCGAGGTCAACGCGTTGAAGGAGTTGCGCCTGAAAGATGCGCACGACAGGATTAAGGCGGAGAAAGAAGTAGTAAGGTTAAGAGACGCTATGGCCAAGTTGGAGATGGCAAGAGAGAAGGGTACTAATCTGAAGAGTAAGTTAGATGAGGCAGTTGGGCCTTCTACCAGGAAGACTAGTTGTACTTCTGCGAAGAAGAAGATGTGTGCTGTGTCTCCAGCCGAGCAAATAGACGAACGAGAAGCTTTTGCACTGATGCAACGCAAGCGGTTAAAGAAATTAAACAAGGATCAGATATCGGCCATCTGTGACAAGGAAGGGATTGTTACACCAAACTGGAGCAAACGAAGGAAAAAATCGTGTGCCAGCGAGTGGCCAAAGCCTTCGAGGATGACAAGGGCAAGGAGGTTTCTCTGGTTGTGGTTACCGAGGAGGAGAGTGGAGACCTGTGGACGCATGACGGGCAAGACACAGCGGTTTCTTAATGTCTTGCCCGGACACGACTTCTCTTTGGTATACTACTCGACATCTATGTAAGATTAGATATTTCTCTACTGAGTTTGTAGCGGACCGCTGGTGGTCCCTGGCTGCCTCGTAAGCCAGTGGGGCCGATGTGAACTCGTACCGCCATAGCTCGGAGCGGTACTCGAGCAGAAGGCTGGCTAAGAAACGATCGATAAGGGCAGCCTCGGGGAGGAACGCCACGTCGCAAACGAGGCGGGCGTCCTGAAAGACCTGGATGTGGCGATCTAGGCCGGTAGCGCCATCAGAGACGGACCAGCGTGTAGTGACGACACGCTCGAAGGCGTCAGTCACGTCGTATCGGGCTCCGAACCGATCCTCGAGGAACGCCTGGAAATCC